CTAGATGGCCGCTTGTTTACTTTCAAGCCTTTAGCTCGGAAACAACAAAGCCCACAGAGAAGAAGCACACGAGCCTGTGTGAACACAAGGTGTTGAAGGGATCAGGTAGCAGACACCAAAGAACAAAAACCATCATTGTGTGATCACCTTCCCCACATAAACGCTGAAAACGAATGTGTGCCTAAGTAAGTGTGGTGAAGAAGGCTGATGGTGTCCATGAACTTTTAAAAAAGCCACCTTTTGTATATCTTTCAAAAGATATTATTTCCATAAGTAGATATATATGATTCATATGTGTTTCACAAATTAAAAATATTATCTATTCTGTTCTGTTTTACTTTTCTTAAATAGAGTAGAACTCTAGACCTCGATGCTAATCCGTACTAGAAGGAGCATCGGGATGCAATGTAGTTGAATTCCGAATCAATTTTACCCCATAAGAAATAACTTAAAACGGATTAATCCCTTCCCAACCATCAAGTTTTTAACTCTAACCTTGCCTTTTTATACAAAACATTACACAGAAATTTCAAAGTAATAAGTTCAGAGTTAAAGAATATAATTTAAATAAGAAACAACATTTAATGAGGTTTTAACAAGTGCAGTATGGCCCATCCCTTGAGATCGATGAGGATCTGGATCTGTGGACACAGACGTGGAGAGGAGGTCTGGAGAAAGAGTCATTGTTTGGAAGGGGAATCAAACCCCTTCCATAAAATCAACTGGTAGCTGCTTTTCAGGAGTTTTTCCCCTTCTCTGCCTTTTTTTCACTAGGGCCTGGCTGGCTTTTTCTAAAAAACAATCTGTCTAATGTGGTCTGCTATTGGCCTTTCCTTCACTGATTTCTAAAAGGGTTTACTAAATTATCATCAATAATACCGATAACATGGTTAACCAGTTCCTTATCATGATGATTCTTTTCAAAAAACTTTCTTAGGATCCATTTTTTAAATCTAAAAACAGTTCAAAAAGCAACAAAAACTAAGAAAATTACAGCAAAACGCTTGGAACACAACTGCAAAAGGTTGAAACTATGCGTACTAACGATGCCAACTAACACTGAGTTGGCGTGAATTGCTTTTTAAAAAAATCATGTGCCTCAGGTCGGATTCTGATGTTTTGTTATAGTTCCAATGCAAAATTTTCTTGACATCTTGCATCAAAATCCGATTAAGTCAAGTACTGATGCAGTCGAGTACTGGAATTCTACTGTATAGTAATGAAACGTATATATTTGTACATAAATTTAGATTTGTGTCATTATCAATAGTTCCATATGATAACATTCCATTGTATATTTCTCCATCCTAGGTTTCTCTTGAATTTAACATTTTAATTTTAATTAAATAATTTAATTAAATATTAATTTAATATTAATATTTCTTAAAAGTGTGGTTCCTAGGCAGCTAGGGCTCCTGGGTCCCTTTCTAGGAGTAGTGGTATTTCAAAATAGAACACTAAATATTTTCTAATAATACTAACACATTTTTCCACGTGTGGACATTTGTACTGGTCTTGAAAGAGCAATGTTGTATTAAACTGATTATCAATCAAAGCAATAACAGCAGCCTGCACTAGTGCTAGTGAATCATATTTACTACCACAGTTAAACTCAAAATACAATGCCAATTTCACTTCAGAATGTTCTCGGTGAAATTGTTCAAATTCTTAATTTATTAAATCTCTGAATATACATCTTTTTTAATATTCTAATATGGGGAAATGTTCTGTGGCAGTGTTGTTCTCAAGGAAAAGTACTTTGTGATTGAGTTGTGAGATCAGTTTTTGGTGCAGCACCAGTTAGACTTGAAAAAATGACGGATAGGCAAACATAGTTATTCAGATTATGGTATTTAGTAGACATGTTCTCTAAAATGACCAATTAAACAACTAATAGTATTTATTACCCGTGCTAAAATTGGAGCTTTTAAACAAAAATGATAATTTGGCGAAATTGTGTCTCCCACTCATGAGTTTGATGGCTTCCCAGTACCTAAAGATGCAGTTGGCAGTGATAATAACAAATATGATACTTCCATAATAAAATCTGTCAACATTTGGATACCCTGCATAACTCACTTTCCAGTGTTTTCCATATGTGACCACTGCATATTGCTAAATAATTGTTAAACAGTATTGTATGGGTAAAAGATATATTCCAAGTGCTAGACTGTGGATTCAATGTAGCAGAGAAAGAAAGTTCATGTTAAGGTTTCAAATTTCACGTTAGAACTAAGCATTAAGAAAAAACAATTTTGGGTTTCAGTGTAGTGTCGAAAAAGAATATCCACAATTATCTGCAAAACCTATCAAAACACTCAATTTTCCTGCTAAGTATCCGTGAAAGCATCGAATTTCTTCACCTACTTCAAAACACATAACAATTAATACAGAAATATGAAAATCCAGCTGTCTTCTTTTAAGCCAGATATTATATAT